AAGAAAAAAAAAACGGGTCATTGCAACTGACCGTGCAGGCGGTTACTCAAATGTGCGCAGGTGCCATCTTAGAAGGGGAGAAAACATATGCGGGATGCACCTCTCGACTGCGTAGAGCTGGCGCAGTGGGAAGGCTTCCTCAACGAAGGAAAGGCTACCCCCCTTTTGAGCTCATCGGTGTGTATCTGTACCCCCCGTCTAGGATGTCGCATATCTTCGCGAAGGTCTCTTCGATGGACCCATTCCCGTCCACACTCCTATACACTGTGGGAAAAAGAGAAATGATCTTCTCCTCATTCTGTTGATATAAATGAAACCTCTTTAAAAAAGTAGCCTCGTCATCATCTGCTCTTTTGGTCAACCTCGAAATGACTTCATCGCTTATATTTTTAAATGCATCCCCTTGAGACGATAATAATAGCATCTGTTCCTCTTCTAGAGTTAACTCTTCCCCTTTCTTTTTTTTCAACAAGACTTGCACCTCCTTGGAATTATAATTTATCTTCGTAACTGGGTCGACCATTCTGTTACTGATTCGGCTCATTAAGTTGTCCTTCTTCACCTGTATATTGATAAAGCTCGTAACTTCTATGCCATTTTTTGCAAACAACAGTGCCTGTTCGTAGGTCCTCGGGAAGCCATTAACTACAATGCCTGTACATGGTTCCACTCCATTTATGTATTTCCCTAAGCGGTGCATAAACACTTTTATGACAAGGTCGTCTGACACTAATGACCCATCCTTCATGCATTTTTTTATTCTTTTTATGTCTTCGTTTTTCTTTTCCATCTGATCGATGGATTCGTCATCTTGACTTCCACATGTGCCCCCTCCTGTCTCTTCACTCTCCCAAACATACTCGTTTAGTAGCGCGCTGATTGTGATTACGGCGAAGTTGTATTTCTCCGCGATTAGCTTGCACTGGGTGTCTTTGCCCGACCCCGCCGCGCCGTTCAGGATGAAAATCTGGGGTCCCTTCTTCTGCTTCGCCATTTGGGTAACTGAGCGGCGAGGTGGGGGCGAAGGACGACGAGGTCAGTGTCTATGTAACCGTGCATGCGTATATGTGTATCTGTATATATATATCCGTATATGTGTATCCGTGGGTGTCGTTTGGGCTACTACATTGTATTACCCTCGTGCGAGTTTTATGTGCCGCGAGCAGCACATTGCTCGAAAGAGGAGCGTTTCTGCTTTTTTATCCTGTCGTGAATTAGCGCTTCTCATTTTATTTTACTTCCGTAAGGGGTGGCCCCCGTGATGGTATGCTTTGCTTCGGGTGATTTTTTCTTTTTCCTCTTTTTTTTTTTGCTTTTTTTTTTCTCTTTTTTTATGCCCCGTTTATGCCATTTTTTTGCCCCGCAGTGCGCGTATAAAATGGAGCGGCCGCCATCCAGTGTGCCTTTCGATGCCCCTTCGTTACGCCCTCTCCCCCGCCCCCATTTCTACTTCTTTTACGGTTTACTATTCCGCTTTGTAATGTGCATTTGTGGGGAAGGGTCGGTCAGCTATTCCCTCCAAGGAAGGCCAGAAAGGAGTGTAACTTGGGGGGAGCAATAGGACGCGCTTGGGGAAGGCAAGGAGTGGGGCACACGGCTACGCGGTGTTTGTAGACCCAGAAGCGTTTGAAGTGAGCCTTTCCGAGAATTGCATCTCTTCGAAGGAGGTACAAACGCTTTATGATTACTATTTTTTTATATCATTGGTTATTCTCCTGTTTGGAGATTTTTCGCCGATTTAGCTAGCTATTTTTTTTTTTCTGCTTCATTTGCCCTTGTTAGGAAACTTTTTACCTGACCAGGCAAGGTCACCTTTGACGTCTTTTTTTTGTTACCCCCTTTCGCTCTTACATGTTAGATTTTTTTTTTTAGTAAAATGTGCAACATTTACACAAAAGGTGGTCTTATGGTGTGTCGAAAAGGAACAGACCATAGAAGGAGCGTCAGTCTACAACCATTCCCATCGTTTCATACTCGTTTTGACAAATGTGTCACCGAGTGGTGTTCCCCCTTTCACGACAGCTTACGCTGTTGAGTCTACTCGTAAGGTGCCTGCAAAAGAAAAAAAACGCTCAACTGGCACCCCCCTTTCAAGTGAAAAATGTGTGTAAAAAAAAAGGAAAAAAAGGGAAAAAACAAATCAACCCATTTAGGAAGATTCCCCCACGTACGTATCACTCACCAGCGGGCGCAAAACGGCTTATCTGCATCCTTGCGAGGTGGCAAAAAAGGGGGGAAAAAAAATGTACAATTCTACACCTTTCGTAATTTGTCTGTCTATTTATCTATCTTTCTGTTTTTTTTTCTTTTGCAAAAGACCCCCTCCCCTTAGCAGGTGTACAGTCAGAACAGTTGAACCGTAGCCCTGCGGTGTATGCGCGCGGCGTCACGGTCATTTTATTTTTTTTTTTTTTTGTGGCGGTGGATCAGTGAATGTACACCACTACTGCTCGAGCGAAAGAAAAGCAAAGCAAAGAAAGCAAAGCAGACATAAATTGCGCAAAATGCAAAAACGGCCAAGAGCGCGACGCGGCAAAGGGTTTGTAAAAATAGTTGCCTTCTCCTTCCAAACAGCAGGAATGCATTTTTGTTGTTGCGTCTTAGCAGTACATGGTCGTGTCCCCCACAGCAGCGAGACATTAAAGCATCTCAGCGGCGATTCGCTCGCAGAATTTTTTCAAAGCAGACGAAACGATGATTAACGCTTTAGCTTGTTTTTACTTCCCGTCCACCTCTGCGGCATTGTTTTCCTTTGTGCGTGACAGCGTTTGTGTGTTTTCATTCCCAATCGGGTTTGTGTGTCACTAGACCGATTTTTGTGCCACGAGACCTATTTTTGTGCCACTGCACCGATTTGTGTTCCCCTTGCCGTGTTGACATAGGTGTACCTCCCCTTGCGGCTAGCCCCCGACACTTAGCCGACGAGAGCGATTTCGATTTTTGTCCGTTCAAAAGAACAGCACCTGTCCCAAAGATTCCTTCTCGAGAGGTGTCTCCAACATAAGCGTATTTTTCACCTTGCCTGTTCATAACTTTTTCCCATTTTCGGGATTTTTTTTTTTTTTTTTTTTTTTCCTCCTTGGTTCCAAAATGGCTACCTTACCGTCGAGCAAGTCAACCAGCAAGGTTGCCGCGACCACTGAAATGGAGGAGGAAGTCGCAAAAGACCATCAGTTTCAGGAAATCGTAAAGATGAAAATGTGGCTTGAAGCATTCTGTCCAGCTTGGTCCTCCTCTTCTACTTCCCCGTCCCACTTCCCCGTCCCACTTCCCCATTTTTAGGAAAAGCTGCAAGACTTGGGCATCAACGCGGCAGACATAAACAAGTTGAAGGGCAGCGGCTACTGCACGATACTCTCCCTGATCCAAACAACAAAAAAAGAGCTGTGCAATGTTAAGGGGATTTCGGAAGCAAAGGTGGAAAAAATTCTCGAGGTAGCATCCAAGATAGAAAACTCTTCCAGCTTCATAACAGCTCATCAGTTGGTCCAGAAAAGAAGTAAGATTTTGAAAATCACAACAGGAAGCTCCACCCTGGATCAGACTTTGGGAGGAGGGATTGAGAGCATGGCCATCACAGAACTGTTTGGAGAAAACCGCTGTGGGAAAACGCAGATATGTCACACGCTGGCGGTCTCGGCTCAGTTGCCCAAGAGCGTTGGTGGGGGCAACGGCAAGGTACGTCAATGGGAGCACGCTCACCCTCCCGTTTCACGTTCTTCCTCCCATTGTACGCTCACCCTCCCGTTTCACGTTCTTCCTCCCATTGTACGCTCATCCCCCCGTTCCACGTTCGTCCCTCCTTTGCACGCTCTCTTCGCTCCGTCTCCACAGGTATGCTACATCGACACCGAAGGTACCTTCAGGCCAGAAAAAATATGCAAAATAGCCGAACGCTACGGAATTGATGGAGAAGACGTGCTGGACAACATTTTATATGCGAGGGCATTCACACACGAGCACTTGTATCATCTCCTCGCGGTGTCAGCGGCAAAGGTAAGTCCCGTGGATACCTTCTTCTGTTCCTGTGTATCAGTAGTTGGTCACTAGGGGTGGCGAACAAATAGGGAAGCGCAACTGGGAGAGGTTCATTTGGGACCACGTTGGCAGATGGTTTCATTGCATTGGTGCACTGGAGGTAGTAAGGCGAGTCCCCACCACATCACTAGCTTCGTTTTGTTTTATTTTGTTCTATTTTATTTTGTTCTATTTTATTTTGTTCTATTTTACTTTTTTTTATTTTATATTTTTCTTTTTTTTTATATTTTTTTTTTCCTTTTTTTGCATCTTCCTATTGCCGCGCCGACCCTGAAGATGTGTGAAGAGCCCTTCGCACTACTCGTGGTCGACTCCATCATCTCTCTTTTCCGAGTGGACTTCAGTGGGCGAGGTAGGTTTGCGTAGGAGCAGCTGGGACGCTCGCGAGTGCGCATTTGCGTGTCGCCCTGAGCACAATCCCCTGCACGGTCATCAGCACGATAATCAGCATCATCATGTGCACGTCTCCATTCCAATATGCCGACTTTAACGACCTCTCCCCCTCCTGCTCGCACCCGCCAGGGGAACTCTCCGAGCGCCAACAGAAGCTAAACAAAACCATGTCCATACTGAGCAAGCTGGGAGAGCAATTTAACATCGCCGTTTTAATAACCAACCAAGTGATGTCCGACCCAGGGGCTACCCTCACGTTTGTGGCCAACCCGATGAAGCCAGGTTTGCGCGACGGACGGAGCCAGGACGTTGCAGGACGCAGCAGGCTCCCCCTTGGTGGCTCATCTTGCCGCATATCATAGCCGCCCCCTCTTTCCACCCCTTCCACTTCACCACCCCTTTCGCTTCACCACCCCTTTCGCTTCATCATCCCCTCGGCTTCATCACCCCCTCCACTTCTTCCCCCCGTGGGCCAGTCGGTGGGCACGTCATCGGCCACGCGTCCACAACCAGGCTGTCGCTGAGAAAGGGCAAAGGAGACCAGCGGGTGTGCAAAGTATACGACGCCCCCAACCTTCCCGAAGTGGACTGCATCTTCCAGCTGTAAGGGGCAGGCCAAACGGAAAAAAATGAGGCTGCCAACGATGCGCGAACGATGCGCGAACGATGCGCAAACGATGCGCAAACGATGTGTTACGCCACGGGGACAAGTAAAACCCCCGAGCGACGCGTGAGCATTTGCCTGTCCACTTTCCCAGCGCCCTATCCGCTTCATTTATTGCTCCATTTTATTGCTCTACTTTATTGCTTTTTTTTTTTTTTTTGGATGTTCAGGTCGGACGGCGGCGTGATTGACGCAACTGACTGAGTGAAGTGTGTGCTCTCGGGCGGTTGAAAAAGAAAAGGAAGAAAAGGAAGAAAAGGGAAAAAATGGAAAAAATGGAAAAAAATGCAAAACAAAGAGGCTTCTCAAAACAAAGCGGTGAAACGCTACAGAAAGCAGCAGGACAGACAGGCAGAGATCTGCCCGCCCGACAAGTGAGCCTCAATCAAAGGGTC